TTTCTTCAGAGTCGGTTATAATCCTTTTACTGAGACTTTCAGATCGCAAATTAAACTTATTGCATCCTATTTACCATTTCATATTAACATTTTATAATTTTGCAGGTTTTCAGGTGTGTCACTCTCTAGGAGGTGGAACAGGATCCGGAATGGGAACACTTTTGATTTCAAAGATCAGGGAAGAATATCCCGACAGAATGATGATGACCTTCTCTGTATTTCCTTCTCCCAAGGTCTCAGACACTGTTGTTGAACCTTACAACGCCACATTATCTGTCCACCAGCTTGTTGAAAATGCCGATGAGTGTATGGTTCTTGATAACGAAGCCTTGTACGATATCTGCTTCAGGACACTCAAGCTCACAACTCCAAGCTGTAAGTTCTCCAAATCATAACTTTCTCTATCTTCTTTAATTAACCTCTACTAAAAATCTTAATCAAATATTACAACAGTTGGTGATCTCAACCATCTCATTTCTGCAACAATGTCCGGAGTCACATGCTGTCTAAGGTTTCCAGGTCAACTCAATTCCGACCTCCGAAAACTCGCAGTAAATCTGATTCCATTCCCTCGTCTCCACTTCTTCATGGTCGGATTCGCCCCTCTCACCTCCCGTGGGTCCCAACAATACCGTGCTTTAACCGTCCCTGAACTCACCCAACAAATGTGGGACGCTAAGAACATGATGTGCGCCGCCGACCCCCGCCACGGCCGCTACCTCACCGCCTCCGCCATCTACCGTGGCAAAATGAGCACGAAAGAGGTGGATGAACAAATGCTAAATGTTCAAAACAAGAACTCATCTTACTTTGTGGAATGGATCCCAAACAATGTGAAATCAACTGTTTGTGATATTCCACCAACTGGGCTAAAAATGGCGTCTACTTTCATTGGGAATTCAACTTCCATCCAGGAGATGTTTAGGCGTGTTAGTGAGCAGTTTACTGCTATGTTTAGGAGGAAGGCTTTCTTGCATTGGTACACTGGTGAGGGAATGGATGAAATGGAGTTCACTGAAGCTGAGAGCAACATGAATGATTTGGTGTCTGAGTATCAGCAGTATCAGGATGCTACTGCTGATGAGGAGGGAGAGTATGAGGAAGAGGAGGAAGAGGCAGAGTATGAGGGTTGATTGGGGGTGATTGGTGAAGGAGACTAGACTCTATTATGTGGTTATTATATTGTTTTATGTGTGAATTGTCTTGTGGTTGTCAACTCAACTTCCATTTTGAGTTGGTTTGTGAAAAATTTGCAAGAAAGCTATCGGTTTTGCTAAACAGTGTGGGTGTAATTCTGTTTCTGGATTATAACTAGTACTCGTTTTTGTGCTTGTTTTGCCCCCCTATTTTAGGTGACATTTGTGTAGATGGTTGTGTTCTTTCACTTCTTTACCTCGCTAGCTTTCTTCTTTTTAAAATCTTATTTCTACTGGTTTTGAGAGCTTTCAACCATGCACTCATGGTTTTCTATCAAAAATTTGCATGAAACTTTTATTGTATGCATACATCCTGTATTTCTGAATTTGGGAAAGTGGATTATTACATCATGGGAGGACCACTATACTATACATTTTTATGATTTCAATGCCGTATTTTCTACTCCATAACTCTTTATACATCTCATGATTTCAATTCTGTATTTTCTACTCTTCCAAACAATTTTTTTCTTCGTAATTTTAATTTATTATCTCGTAATTACTCAGTTTTTTCTTTAATATATAATAAATCTGACACTGAGAGCTTTGTTTTTTTTTTATTTATATATAATTATTATTAAAAAGTTGTGTCGTTGCCGGCTAACAAAAACTCAACACCTGAGCAACCAAAATACATCTCCAACCTTGGGTTGATTCTGTGGTCCCACATATTTTCAAAGGTTGTCCCATCCATCGTTCTTTTCCTTCTTTGTGTCCACCCTGATCTGGGATGGTCATCCTCCGTTTTCCCTCTTTTCTCCTGACTAGTTCCAATAAAACAATGTCCACGATAGTGCTTGAAAGGGTGGAGACTGAAATTCAATAAAAAAATGTATTGGGTTTAAAATCCAAACATGCTTTCTATAAAGAATGTGTAGTGAAATCCTATAAAGAACGCCTTATTCAAAAGTGGACATACATTGGGGACAACTATTCCTGATGAACTATATCTGCTAGCTCTCGTTATTGTGTTGGTTAAATAGAGGTATTTGGTTCGAAATATGTATATTACTAACGTGTTTTTTTAACATGTAAAAATAAGAATAATGGAGTGTATGATCTCATCATATTTAGCACATAATGTATTTTTATATTATTCAATTTATATGTCACATGCCATGGCAACTCAGACATTATTGTGACAAGTAAACTCAGACATTGAAGAAAGCGACTTGGGTGAAGAAATCAATGAAAGGGGATCCAACCTTTGTGCTGGATGATGAGTTGGATGACAAAGACAAAGATGAAGAATATACACTTCAATCAAAGGTGCCAATTAATGCGTTTCTTTATGAATTCTGCCATCACTGAGGGACTGCATAAAGGAATGAAGATGGAGCAATTAAATAGGAGTATTCTGATTATGAAGGAATTAGAAAAAGGAAATGGAGGATGATTCACTAGAAGTTAGTGCTGGATATGGTTTATATGCTGGTATAGAGGAATTACGTTTCTGTTCTACAAATTGGCAAGATATATGCTAGTATAGAGGAATTGCGTTTCTGTTTTACAAATTATGCAGAATGAGTATCCACTATGGTTTGTGAAATCTTTTACAAAAAGGCTAAAAGAGAAATGTGTAACCAACAAGAAACATTTATTGTCCCTTTAAACTTTGGGCATCATAGATAAACTAAGAAAGATCATTCCAGATTAAAGGACTTGATGATACTCACACTTGTATTACGGAGTTCAACCATGGTACATTGGTGAATCCTAATTGGATTGCTAAGAAAATACATAAAATATTTGAGTGCAAGACCTAGGATGAAAAGCAAAGAGATAAGAGAAGGTATGTGAAGTGTCAATGGCACAATGTTATAGAGCAAAGAAGAAAGCTTTGGCAATAATAAATCTAAAGCTGACAGAGCATTATGGGCTTGTTTAGGACTATGCTCGTAGGATTATGAGACCAATTCAAGAAATATTGCAGAAAAGTAGGTGTTACAGTCAGATGGAAGGACATACTTTCACATATTCTATGTTTCTTTTAGATGCGAATGAAAAGGTGAGTTATTAACTGCAACTAGAAGGGATAGGAAATCATAACAACAATGAGAAACTATAGATTAGAGTTGGGATTTTCATTTGAAGCTTCATAAAAAATAGGAATCATTTTCATTAAACTTTTTCTTGTACCATTCATTCAGAAGTTCTTCATCATACCATTCAAAGTATTTACAATCTTTTTTACCGTACGTGAAATACCTACAACCAGAATATCTTCTTGCAGGGTTTTTGTGACTCCAAGAGAAAGAAAATTGAGCTGATAATCCATAATAACACCTCTTAAAGGGTTGATTCCTTACTATTCGTAGACTTGTCTGTGATGTTGAACCACATGATCGACCTTTAAAATCAAAGAAGAGGAAAAGAGGACGAAATGTCGAAATGTGAAAACCTAGATTTTAGCTTACATTTAAAGATCTCTCCAGTACATTCAATTAATGCCAAGTAGGAGTCCACATGGCTAACACATCACCTACTTGACACGTCAGATCCAATGAAATTGAGTAACCTGAAGGAAATTGGATATGTGGTCAACATTGAACAAAACTGAAACAAAATTGGAAAATACCATGTTCAATTTATAAGAAAACTTAAAACAATGTCAAAATTGATTTTTTTAACACTTAGTGTCTTTTGTACCATTTATCATAATTTTTTTTTAGCAAAATAGCCACATATTTTGCAAGAAGCCCATTAGGAAATGCATATTTGCTAATACAAGATCACGTTTTGACGAGTTTGTTTATAAAAGGTATTGTTTCTTCATGAGAATTGAACTCGTTGATCAGTAACATCCACATTAGATTCTGGGCTAAATGGAAAAATAGCAACACACTTTCGATATTTGTTTATTATTCTTTCTATTACAGCATTGCACATTTAATTTTTTCTTATTAAAACAATGTACTTTGACAAATCAACCCGATTATAACATTGTACTTAAAATTCTTTTCATTAGGACAATGCATTTTGATATACTCAATTTTAGCAATAGAAACTACTTTGTATTCAGATGAAATTGTTATAGTTGGATATAATTTTCGAAATATAATTTTTTAATAGGAATAAATGAAAGTAAGATGCTATGATAAACAAATGAATGAAAGTACATTGCTACTTACATATAATCCTAAGATTCCTGTTATTATATATATATATATATATATATATATATATATATATATATATATATATATATTGATTGCATTCAGTTACATATGGGATGAGTTGGATATAATAGAAAGAAATTTGTGTTTCAAATATGGCGGATCTAACTTCAGAAACTGGCAGTTTTAGTCTGTACATCAAAAACTTGGAGTTAATTTTCTTAAGGGTTAGGTGCAGAAAATGGTAACATACTTAAACTGATTTGTTTTCTCATAGCATCCTATTTTCATTTCTTCCTATTAAAACATTCAACTTTTAACTAATCTACTAAATTGTAGCATTATCATCTAAATACAAAACAATTTTCATAGATTTTTCAAAGTACAGTGTCATAATAATTTTTTCTTGAAAGCATAATGCCTTAGTAAAGAAAAAAAGTCTAAACTACAATCTTGTAATACGAAGAAATGAAAGTATGATGCTATAATATACAAACGAAAGTAATATCTATTTAGTGGTTTTTAAGAGATTATAATTGCATAATATCAAAAGAAATGAGTGATTGACCATATGACACATCATGCTTGACTTGTCATTGCAAGCTAACCATTAATCTTTGAATAAATGGCAAATTAATCTTTTAAGCAATGTAAAATTATCAAATTTAAACATATAGTTTAATAAAAATAACTGATAAACACACATTCTCTCGTTACATATAAAATAACATTTGTTCACAAACCAGTTCCAAAAGATATTGAATTAAGAAAATATTTACAAAACCAAAATGTTTCATTTGCCTTTAGTTTTGGCCTCCAAAATTGAGCCATCTTTAAGCATTTCACAAGCATCATTCTCCATTCCTAAGCTAAAAAGAGCAGCAGCTTGGAGATAGAGTGCGGTTGACCAATCAGGTGATGCCACCTGTGCTTGCATCGCATCTCCTAAAGCTTCTTGTGCTTTGTTGTTCATCAAGTAGCACAAACATCGCCTCGCATACACAGTTGGTGAAACCATGCTTCCATTCTCAATAAACTAAACAAAAGAAAGAACCGAGTTTTAGATCTCAAACGAAGCGTATTTTAGACATTTCCAAGAGCATCATGTGAGATGCAAATTCAAAAAAAAAAAAAAAAAAATTACTTACAGTTGTGTATGACTCGATCGCGGTATTGAAGTCCTTGGTTCTGAAAGCAGTGTCCGCATGCTTCCTACCATTCAAAGCCTCTTGTAATTCACTTGTCCACATTTGAAACGAAAGCTACAAAAAATAAACACAAAAAAAAATAAAAAATAATAATAACAAAAACCCTAAACGCTAAAACAAGAACAAATAATGAGGAGAGAGAAAGACCTCATTTGTAGCCCCCTCATCATCCTTGTATCCACTTTTTTCCAACATCTCATGTATAGCAGTTAGATCCATTCTGGAGCAAGCTTCTCCAAATGGTGATAACGAGTCAATTTCTTTTGCAGTTTCCACCGGGGGCGGATTTGTAATTTCCATCAACACAACGGATGACACCTCTGTTTGTTTCTGAAGAGCATTGAGAGACATGACAACAGATTTTGGATTGGGCCTATCACGAGGCTCATATTGCAAACAACGTGAAGCTATCCTTACTAATTCGGTTCCATCTTCAATGGAAAAATGACCCTCTAAGCATGAATCCATTAACATTTGAAAGTTCTTCTCACGTATTAAATCAAGCGCCTACAATCACAAAAATAACACCAATTTAAATCATAATTTATAAACAAAAAAAAAAAAAAGGAAATTGAAACTCTTTAAATTTTACATGACTCGGAGGAATGTGCTTTCCACTAAGAAGATCAAGAAGTATGGTGCCAAAACTGTAAATCACACTCTCTGCGTTTATTCTACCTGCCATATCGAAAAACATAAAGAAATATATATACAAGTTTAACCATATTATATATATTTTTTGTATGATTGTATCTCTATTTTTATACCTGTTTTCATATATTCCGGAGGTGTGAAAGCTAAATTAGTACTGTAGCTCTTCCCATCTCGGCTATTTTTCATTAGCCCGAAGCATGAGAGCCTCGGATTGCAATCCTGCAATATTAGATTGTCAGATATGTGGAGTCCTAGATTTTCTTTTCAAAAGAGCCCACACTTGACAGTCTAACTATGTGGGCCATGAAGCTAGGCTCTGATAACATGTTGGTACCTTATCAAACACTACTCTATAAGCATTAAGATCATGGTACAGGGATCGGCCTTTGATGCTGCAATACTCTAATGCTTGTGCCAAATACAAAGCCACACGTAATCGCATAGCCCATTTCAGTGGTTGGCTTTCCCCTAAATTCGTACATACAAGTTTATATATAAATCAAGAGCTCAAATTTATTAATAGAATTTTTTGGAGAAAAAAAAAGTGGCAACAAAATAGACCCACAATGAAACAAATGCTTCGATAAAGTCTCGTTAGGCATGAACTCTGCAACCAGTAATCTCTCGTCTCCTTCGTAGCAGCATCCCAACAAATTTGCCAATCTTTGGCTTCGAAGTTGGCCTACTGTTTTTGCTTCATCCTATAAACATAAACATCGCATCATTATTCAGAATCAGAATTAAATAGGGAAGGATGCTAGAGATAACGTACGAGGAATTGACGAGTATCAGGCCAAGCTGATTTGTTGAATCGTTTAACGGCGATCAGAGAGTCACCGTCGGGTAGCTTTCCTTTATAGACGACGTTGGGCGCCTTCTCGCCGTGCTCCGACACGACATTTTCGATGGAAAAGCCACCGGTTGCAGCTCTAAGCTCGTCTAGTTTGTACTCCCTGAAACATGGCCACTTTAGCTTGTCGTCTTCACCACCGCGGTTCTCTGAAGCATATCGTCGAACACATTATGTATATAAAGAAACGAGTATGAACAGAGATGTTCTAATGTTATAGACTAGATTTTGACGTACCCGGATCGGAGGAACGAGGAAGCTTGGATTTGAAACGACAACATCCACATAAAGAGAAGGAAAAACATGAACAACGACCACCCATCTGGAGAAGACACGAAACTAAGAAGTGCTTCAGTTATACAGAGGCGATTCTTTAATGTTGAATTGCCTTTCTTTCCCTTTGGTAAGAACTCATGAAAAGGTTTCTTTCTCTGAAAGTATAAAGGGTTTGCAGAATGAAAAGGGTTTTTGTCATTTTCATAAAAATGAATGATTAATGTGAGAGGCATTGAGGAGAAAGTAATGATGATGGGATAAAAACAACAGCGATATTTCTGTAAATCCAGGGATTCCATTCTCTCTCCAACTCAGGTTCTACACATTTTCCTGGTGTCAATGACATTTGTTTCATTTTGCTAGACAGGCTGGTTGAAAAATCAATCAATAGTTTTTATTAAAAGTATCTTATAAATTAGATCGTAATGTAAATTCATATAAATAAATAGGTATTTAGATATATTATATATAATTAATAGAAAAATTAATATAATTAAAGGATATATTTAAAATATTTTTTAAAAAAATCAATAAATTTATCAAAAACTATTTTAAAATAGTTTAACAAAAACTGCTTCATAAACTAACATAAATTATTTTCATAATTTTATCAAATATTAAACTACAGTAAACTAATTTATTTTTATTCAACATGGTTCAATAAATGATAAATTATTATTTACATTGTATAGACATGCAATTAAGAAACTAAATAATTTCATTGGTTAATTTGTATAA